CGACTGTGAGCTCTTCTCAGCTTCATTTTAGAAAAAGAGCAGCACCAAGATTATTTACCAGAGTGATTAGAATCGCTCATTAAGAGAGAGCTCATCAAAGAAGCTTCAATGTTAAGGAAAGTTACCTGAACATTCTTGATGAGCTGGTTGGCTATAGCCCGATATGTATTTGTAAAGTATTAGGTGCTGTAACAACTGTAATAGCAAATCTGCCATGAGAAAGGGGAAGAGGGGAGAGAGAGAAAGAGAAAGAAGGAAGGAGGGAAAGGAGGAAAAGAGGGGATGAAAGAGAAATAGTGTTTTCTGTACAGAGTAGTAAAGCTGTTATGGGCTGAATTGTGTCCCCACCAAAATTCATATGTTCAAGGCCTAATCTCAGAATGTCACTACATTTGGAAATGCCTCCAATAAAGTGGTGATTAAGTTAAAAGGAGGCCATTAGGTGGGCCCTAATCCAATCTGAAAGATGTCCCTACAGGAAGAGGAGATTTGGACACGCAGAGAGGCACCACGGATGTGCGTGCACAGAGAAAAGACCATGTGAAAAGACATCAAGATGGCGGCCATACACAAGCCAAGGAGAGAGGCTTCAGAGAAAACCAATGCCGCTGGCATCTTGATCTGGGGGATAATGAACAGTGCCTTGCCTCAGAAGTTTATTGTGAGGATCAAATACGTTAGCCCATGCAGAGCACTTGGAACAGTACTGGGCGCATAGTAAGCGCTCCAGAAGTGTCAGCTGACCTGGTGAAGAATGCAGCTGTGGTATAACAATACCAGCTGAATGAAAACTTCACCACCGCCTTTCTGACTCCAGGTACCTGAATGGGCTCTTGGGGGCCTTTATTTTCAAGCTCGCACAATGGGAATCATCACGTCTGTTTATGCTTAGTGGTCCTGCAAGACGACTATGTGGCTTTCCTTGTGGGAAAGGTCCCACTAGGAAGAGAGATGAAGGCAACCTGTGTAGAGGAACCATATGCACCTCAACGGATGGCAGAGACTGGCCCGAGCTGTGGGCCAGAAGCACTCGAACTCAGGATCACTGACTGTGTGAGCCTGGGGTGGAGATGGTATTTTCTGGTGCACTGCCCCTTCCTGGAATCTGCCAGAACTGCTGAAAAGGAAGAAGGAAAGCAGCTATTTATCTGCCTGACCTCTCAATCTGAGAAAACAGTGACAGGGTGAGCGGACAAATGGGATAAGAGAGCACTAGAGCCATTTCTCTGCCTCCGCAGCGCGGCTCCACATCCCTGGGCGCACAATTTGTTTGTTTTGTGCCGTTCTTGGGCACCGTTCTTCAGAGCCCCTACAGCTCTGAGACCAAGGAAGGTGTTCTGGTGAAGGACTCAGGTGAAGTCGGGCAAGTCGTACATTGTGGGGAATGCGGAAGGGAGAGCAAAGGTACCTACAGCAGCCCGGGCCTGCTGAACCCAGCTCACAGGGGAACACTGAGCTGTGTGTGCCCGGCCTACCATGACAGACACAATACTGCCTGCCCTTCTCCCACCCTGGCACTTCCCCCTTCGGGAGCTCCTCTGGTCTATCTACGAGATGCTTTGGGCTCTGTGGAAGAAAGCTGGGAGGCCCTGTAAGCCACGCATTGGAATGCAGATTCCGATGTAGTAGGTCTGAGGTAGGGGCCTAAAATTCTGCATTTCTACCCCAATGTTTATAGCAGTAACACACACACACACACACACACACACACACACACACA